AGGTTTTCCCCCTACTCCATGAACTGCTTTGAGCAGTAGCGTAGAAAATGTCAGGGAGGATCACCCAGCTGGGAACATTAGTGTTGTGTGGAAAACTTACAGGGGGCTTTTCAGCTCCTTGGCACAGTAATGTGATAAATCATCCGTAACGTGCTTTTCCAGTAGACGTGGCTGTACAATGTGTGATGCATCTGACAGCAAACATCTGTCCTGGTTGCAGCAACAACGTCGTCTGTTTTTCCTATGATACTGGTTTACCTTACTCATCTGATGGAGATGAAATTCCCCCGAACCTTGGCTTCCCCTTGGCTGCTGTGCTTCCCAGCTGAGCCCCCTCTGCCCTATACCCTGCAGCAGAGATGGGGAGCAGACCAAGGGCCACCGCAGCCAGATCACTGGGCTGCTGCTGAAAGAGCTGCTGGCCATGGCTGGCACGTGCCTTCCAGCCTCAGGGGGGATTTGAAGATTAAACCTTAGTTATGAGAATTCATCTTGACTTAAATTGGGTTGCAGGTTTCATCCAAAAAAGGAACATGGCTTACTGGCTTCCTCTGGCTGGGCTGAAGCTGTAATTTCACTAGCCATGCCTATTCTCACTGGACCTTAGTGGACCTCTCACAAGATGTTGATCTCATTCTGTTTCCATAAATTTCATCTAAATTCCCATAAAAGTGATGGAACACCTGATATCCAAGGCCCCAGTTTAACCACAGACATAGTCTTGCACATCAGCTTTTGGCCTTCACTTGGTTCCCACACAAAGAAGATGGCTTTGTGCTCCAGCTTATGTTTGTATTGCTGCTGCTATGAGGTTGCGAACACTGAGTCCAGGGAAAGAAATTCAAACAACTGAGTGGAAATCTGCTGGACTGGTTAGATCCCACAGAGTGGGAAAGGAGCTCTTCCCACAGCATGTGTAGCCAGAAGTGGACTCTGAAATACATGGGGTTACCCCGCTGCTGCATCTTCTTATTCAAAAATAATTAATCTGACTGGGAAAAAAAAAAAATCAATCCTTAGCTCTGGAGATGAGTGAAATGCACTAGAGGAGACAATGTTTTGCCCCCTGACACTGATGGGTCCTTTAGCTTTGGTAGCTACTCATTATGAAAAAGCAATTAAATTATTCTTTTTAAACTAGTAACAATGAATGTAAAGGCAGTGGATAAAAAGTAAATAGAAAATAGTACATAAAGCATATAACTTATAAATAACAACATTCAGAGTTAAGGAACCTAGTGAATTGCATGGCTTTGGGCAAAGGGATGATGTTGTGAGGGCAGGGGAGTGATGAAGTCAAGGAGAAGCTGCAAACACAATGCACAAAACTGCCTCAGTTTCCTTGCAGGGCAGCCTGTACGAGCCCATCCACGTGGCGTTGGGGAAAAGCGACAGGGTGAGGAAAGGCTCTTTCTAAATCTTTGCAGTTGCAAATAAATAAATAAATAAATAAATAAAAAATCATTCACGTGATCTGGCTGTGTAACAATAGTTTTTCTTGGCAATCTCCTAGAGGAGCCAAGAAAATGAATGGGCAGAGTTTTCCCCTTGCCTACCCTGCTCTAGCGTGTTTACTTGTCAAAGTGAAAAAGTTTCAAGGGAGCAATGTGGGAAAACTTAATGGTGAACAGGGTAGTGAAGACAGCAAAGGACTGGGGACAACCATGGACTGGAGTGGTTAGAAGTGAGAGTTGTGTCCTGCTGCTTTCCAGACGTGCTGTAGGGAGTTAACCAGCTCCTCCATCATGGGCAGCGTTTCAAAGGTATGTTACTGCAGAGCTCACTGCTGCAGCCTGCTCCTTGCCCTCTTCCTTTCAAGGGCATTATATGGCCCTCAGCACATTTGCATAACAACATTCCTGTTTGATTAAAGAAAAAAAGCAGGCCAAGATTGCAGAAATTGAGTATGACATACTCTGAAAATTGCTGTATCTTCTCCACGTCCATTGCTCTGTGATCTTTGCTGCTTTGAATGCTTCCAAAAATAACTTGAAAGAGATGCATGGCTCAATTATTGCCAACACGAATAGTTATTGATCTAGATGATGGTTTGGAAAGGAAGGATGATAGAGAAACCATGCTCTGCTATCCACATGTTTAGACCTCCTGTCTCATTTTGCTTAAGCTAATAGGGAAAGGCATGGCAACAAAGAAAATCCTCTGCCTGCTTTAAAGTTATTGGGCACTTTTATACATTGAAGAAAAGTCATTAAAATGCATGAAATATTTGACTTTAAATATATTTTGCTAACTAAACCATCTCGTACCCTATAAAACACTCCAAAAGGAGCTCCTAGCCCTTTGGCTGACCAGATGTCATTGATGCTATGTGGAGCAGCCCTGGGGCCGCTCTGAATGGCTGTGGCTCTGCTGAAGATCCTTTTTAGTAGCCAGGAAAAGCAGCAGCTCATTGGTTGCTCCAGCCACTTTTCCTGTTCCCCACCACTGTCTCGCAGGAGATGTTGTAGGAGACTGGGAGATGTGCCTCTCCCCTCCCTCATGTCCCAAGGAGGAGCAGTACCACCCTCCTGCTCATGCCTTGGTCCAGCACCAGGGGAAAGTGTGGCTGCAGAATGCCCTCTCTCTCGCCTCTTAGATCTCATCCCAGGTCCAACACTGAGATTAGTTTCAGCCAGAAACATCCCATGCAGCTGCCACGTCTGTATTTCAGTTCATTTGATACTATTTTGTCTGGTTTTTGATCTGCAAAGCTGCCTTTTTTAATATTATGATGATGTTATTTATTTAACATCGATACTACACATCTTGGGACAGCTCAAGGAGGTGTGGGTATAAAAAGTACAACATATCTCAGGCACAAAGTATGAACTTCAGGGATCTCTTGTGTGAGTTTTTAAAAGGGTGTACTTCACTGACAAAAAAATCCCAGCAGTGCAAAATTACATCCATTGAGAGTCTTGATTAATTTTGGTTTTTTTGTATATTTGTTTTTTTTGTTTGTTTTCCTCACAGCTGTTCAAAGCTTTGGGTTTAGTTGTATTTAACTATATGTTAAATAGATGGGACAAACCTGAATGGATCCAGGTTTAATCGTATTTAGAAACATTTATAAATAATAATAATGACTTTGTATCTGTGTGCAAGATGTTATGTGTGAGATTAGATATGAGCCCAAAACATAATCAGGTCCATAACAGCTTTTAATAAACAGAAATTGGAATAAAAGTCTTTAGAAAAGTACAGAATAAAAGCAGAACATATCTCTTCCCTATTAACCATTGGTATAAATCCCAAGATGTCTTGTATTAAACTTATAAATTGCAATCTTCACTAAATTGTTATATGCAAAATATCACAGCTAAACATAGTACTGCTGGTGTCTTACAGAATAGAGGTGTTAACTTTTCCTCATCTTATCACCCTTTTATAGCAAAGGCAAAAAATAAAAAAAATTAGTTCCAAAACTAATTTTTAAAGGAGGCACTGGAGAAATGAAATTCCCACTAAAAGCCAGTTCTGTTATGCTATGTCTTAATGTCAAAACTTTGATAAAAACATTTCACTACTTACTAAAGATGAATGGATTCGAACCACACAATGGTATGTCATGACCAAATCCTAATTTAATTATATTTGATTATTCAGCTGAGATGTCTGCTGACTGTAAATGATGAGTAGAAGCTATGGAAGTGTTTGCAAGCTCATGTTAAGATCTCATTTATGTTGGGTTTTTCCGTGTCAACAAATTTAATTCTACAGTTATTTAATTATGTAGTTGTAATTCTACTGTTTCAGCCTACTAGGATGAGACTGGGATTTATTTGACTTTCAAGGAATAGTTTGAAAATAAACAGTTGAACAGAACACGTCTGAGGGTGGAGCTGTGGTTATTTTGCCAGGCTCTCAGCACAGGAGAGAGGGCATTCTGTTAACTCTGCAGCTATAAGGACAGTAAAGAATAAACTCAGTAGACATTGTTGGGTATAAAAACAAGTCTTTTAAAATTCTTTCTCTGTCAATTTGGCATCTGACTATAGAGAAAAAAACCCACTACTTCAGCTGCAATAATTTTTACATAGTGTGATCTCTATTCAGAATGCAACCTAGAGGAAAATATCCTGCAGACCAAGTCTGTTGGCAGTGTACTCTTGTGTTTGGTGTCACAAAAATGGATCCAAGATCAGTCGCCACTTCTCTGTCAGGTGTGGGGTCAATAACCACCTCTCATGCTTCGTGATTTCTAGCTGCAAAGTGGCATCAGCATTCCTCTTCCTGACTTCACTCAAAAGGCTGTCTGCCCTGCAGATCTTAATTACATCTGTGCACAGCATCTGATGGGACTTCTGACCCTACTTGCCACTTCTACACTGAGATTTATTTCTATTTCTAAGGCAGAGGAAAATTAATACGACACATTCTCTGGTAGCTGTATGGTTTCTGAGCTCATGGACTTAGAAACGTAGTAAAAGTTATTTGTGGCTGTGATAGTCATCACGTGTACAGCAGGATATACAGAACACAGCATCTGTTGAATGAGATGTTGTATTAAAGTGGTGTTCTACCTCAAAAGGTGTGCAAATAAAAATAACTCCACAGCAGTGGTTGCTTATTTTGATAATGAATTTTAGTTATGATTTATGCAATAAAGAATGCCTCTGAAAATAGAGAGAGGCAATTTGTTATTGGTCATAACAAGTCTTTAGTAAGTAATACTTATAAGCTCTTTTTTTGATACTCCCTTCCAAGCTTTCCAGGGAGAGCAGATATACTTGTGGAGGAAAATTAAGGCATTGTAATTCCCAGTCAGCCCAGTAAAGTGATAATCTTTCAAGCTATTTTGTACACTGATTTTAAAAAGCAAATAAACTGATAGAGGTAGCAATGCATTTTATGGATTCAAAGACCAGGGTACAGATAAATCTTAAATCGTTATGAACAACAGGTTTCTTAGCTTATGGAACTCAAAAATATATCGTTGATGTTCGTTTCTGAAAAGAAAACATCTTCTTTTTTTTTTTTCTTTTTTTGAGGTTAGATGCTCTAGGTTTTGCTCATTCTAGTTAGAAGAAAGCTCAGTCCCTATTCAGGACTCTCTTCCTGAGGAGCCGGAGCCTTGACATGACCACATCCCAGTCTGCATAGGCACCTTCCAGGTGACGAGTCACTTCTGATCCTGACTCGTAGCTTTGGCGACCATGGAGCACGCGCCAGTTATCAAACGTCACTATGTCTCCTATAAAGAGATAGCACAAAGTTTAATATTTGTTATGTTATAGTTGATTCCTTCAAACAAACAACACGGAGGTAGATCTGTATCAACAGTTAGGGAGCAATAATTTCAAGTAGCTCAGCTGGAGATACATAGCAAAGACACCGTCATTTTAATTTAGCTGGTCATTCTCAACCAGAGAGGGCAGATCCCTTGCAGGCTCTGCTTCTTTTCTTATATAACCAGGAGTTTAAAAGCAGAGTGGCAGGGGAGTCTACGCTGAGAAAAGTGGGTCTTGAGGGGAAAGGCAACTACAGCAAATCTGCAGGAAGGACAAAAGGATGAAAGCCACTAGGAGGATTTGCTCAGTCTGGTACTATTTGTCCTATACACATCCTGTGTTGCTACCACTGCTAAGAGAATTTTTTGAGAACAAAGTCAAATCATTGAAAGTTAGGCAATCACTAAGGCTAGCATGCCTTTTTAATTTTTCTCCCTTGTGTGCCACCGTCATGATAAATCTCTAATTAAATAACCTTATAGTCTTTCTTTCCTTCTCCTCATCCCCTCCGCCACTATTTTGGTGTGTTAATTGATGGGATGGATGCTACTAATGTAATGTGAGGTACTTTGTTTTACCATTTATTATGTGATCTTATATATTATTTTATTGCATGGTCCCAATAGAGAGAGATTCATTTCCTCATAGACATTTTAAAGACAATAGCATTATAGTAGATGAGGCAGTCAGATGCACTAATGAATTTACTTTTGTGGTATCTCTTGAGAGATGAGGGACTATTCATATCCTTATTTTATAGCTGGGGAATGAAAGAACAAGAGATTAAGGCCAAAGTTGTTAAATATATGCACGGACTGACTTTTAAGGAGTAAAGGGCATTTTTTTCAGCATGTTTTATGTTCAAAATACAGCCCTCTACAACTCTAGCTGAAGTTTAGAGCCCTTAGCACTTCTGCAAATCTGCCTCCAGATGTCTTGCACAGGCCACCCAGAAAAAGCAGCAGAGCAGCAGTGGCCTTTGGAAATTCATCCAGCATTATTCTGGCATGTGGTGTCTAAGCAAAGACAATAACCGAATTCCCCACAGCGCTGTTCAGCTTCCTTCAGCCCTGTGCACATTATGCATCTGTATCATCTAGATGTTCTGCGACTCCTACAGCCATTGGGAAGGTGCCCCACTAACAAATTAAAGTGTTGTAAAGAAAGATGTATCATTTGCCTTAATGTCTGTACTCTGCACCAAATGAAACAGAGGGATAAGTATGTGATTGTGTATCGTTAAATGAACAGATACTGAACTGGGATGGCACAGAAATCTTACACATGATATTCCCATCTGTGGTGCTATTGATATGACAGGTTACAATTTTCTATATGGTATGAGTTTTTGATGTAGTACAGAGATACACTGAACTAACCAACAGATAGATTCTATTCCCCTCTGCTGCCTTTTTTTTCTTTATAGTGTAAAAATGGCAAAAGAAATCTATGAGATAAATGTAAGGATGCAGTATGAAATAAAGTAGGTGACAGAAGGACTGAAATTCCCTCTCAGTACCAGTGCTAACAATGCCCAAGTGTTTTGACTATTAGGAAAAATATGTGAAAAATCACTGCAAGGAAAAGTAACTTACTGACCTGGTTTCAGCTTGTAAGTAAACTTGTGTTCTGCACTGTTTAATAAATCATCAAATTCCTTTAGAGCTGCATAAAATGGCCTCACTTTTTCAACTGGTATGTCAAACACTGTGTCTCTTGTTGCATTATTATAATTGATGCGAACTGCTTGGCCTCTGGAATCTACACTATGAAACAGAGAAGAAAAGGAATGTATTATGTTGTTACTGAAACATTTTAAGATGGTTAAAGAGCAACTGAACTCTCCTTCTGGAATTTCAGTTTGTTTCTCTAGTGAAATTCAGGTTGTTATTGGGTAGGATTTTGATAATTAAACCTAACTAGGAAAAGAGATAGTCAGGAGGAAGTGTAGACACTTGATTTCCTCAAATATCTATATTCTATACACTTTAATTGTAGAACTGTAAAATCTTTACATTCAGAAGAGATTATGATCATTTGCATTTTATCTTTTTATAATACATAGCTCTTAATCTAAATGCTTCAAATTATGACCTCTCTTTGGGACGATCCAGGTGTACATCAGCTGGAATTTAGTAACAGATCCAGCTGCTGTTTACCTGTGTCTGTACCCACGAGTTGCTCCACTTACCACCACTTCTTGCTGGTGTGTGGCAAAACCAAATAAGGAAAACTATGCTGTGGTGATACAAAGCAAAGAACAAGTAATACACTGGCAAAACCCTCCAAGAACCACAAGAAAAACCCTCAAATAACTACAGACCACGTTCAATCAGTGTTTCCCCACAAGGTGGCAGGAATAGACCTTCTCCTACAATAAGTAATCCACCATACAACAGGGATTTTATTTTTCAATGTTGTTGAAACTACTCACTCTATAATCCTTTGTTTACACTGCACAGCAAAGTCACAGTAGTCCACCCCCACATCTGTGTAGTCTACAGCAGTAGAGGACAGGATCTGATACGCTTGAGGATTTTGGGTTTTTAGCTTGTTGGATATGTGAAATCCATCTACAACTTCACTTTCACCTCCTGTAGCTGTTTGCTTTATACAGTGGAGAAACTGAACCTGGAATGAATGAACATCTCATTATGAGAAGAATTAGTTTGCATATTTAACAGTTTATTAGTATCAGTTCCCTCATATCTGTGGTTCTGTTTGTTTTGGGGGGTTTTTTTGGTTGTTTTTTGGTTGGTTTTTTTTTTCAGTAAAAGACTTGCGTTCCCATTACTGCAGCTTCACAGTACTCTGCCACCACTATCACACAGGCACAAAATTAAAGTAGCGTGTTCATAAATCCATCCCATTTGGGATATCTTCTAATGCTTACAACCTGCGAGGCAACCACAAAACTCTGGTCTCCATTCTTTCCTTTGAGTCCTTTCTTTGCAGCAATCATAACATTTTAAATTCATTGCAGCCTTATCTCAACAAGGAGGATTAGTTTTCTCTTGCAGAAACAAAACCTGCTGTGAATTATCTGCTCACAGAGGGGAAAAGGTGACTCTCAAAGAAGGCAACAGGTCCAGTGTCTCCCTATCATAAAGTAGGATTAAGACAGTTTCATTTCACTTCACAGTGAAATTGCCAAGGTGTAAGATGGAGCAGAAAGCCTAAGCTGGGTTCTTGGTTGCACCCATGTAAATCTGAGCTGCTGGCACAGGCAGTACAACTCTCCGTGGCTTTAGAGAGCATCACACTAAGTGTAACTGTTCATCTCAGCCAAACTACACAAAATACATCTGTCATACCAACAGTAACAGTGTTCACCTTTCCCTTCCATGATGGTGAATTATTTTTTGAGAAAAAAGCTAAAAAGAAACCAACAACAACAAAAAAAAAAAAACTACAAGAGAAGAAAGAGGAGCGGAGAACAGGGTTTGTCCTAGAATCTCCTCATCATCTGGAGCTGCAGACCTTGAAGATGGTGATGAAGAGGGAAACTGAGCCCGATTCCATTCTCAGTCCGCAAGAATGAACAGCATCTAAATTACTTTAATAGGTGATGTTAGTGTGATGTATTTGGTGCTTACTTGTGGACAAATCATGTTGGATTTTTGTTTAATTATAGAAACAACCAATACAAAGTACTCCACAACATGAGAAGGGCAAGTAGTAGGTATGAAGCTTACAGATGCAAACTTTCCCAGGGTTATCTTTGTTCCTTTGTACTTGCTCCTACCACTTTTCAGTTCTCTGCTGAATTATGTGGATTAGGCTTTGATATGACAGGGACTAGGTGAAAAAGTTTTTTCTGTGGTTGTTGTCTAGCTTTACAAAATTCCTCTTTTTTGTCTAATCATGAAAGGGCAGATAAGGGTCTAATTTCAATCAATTTATAGAAAACAGAATATAACATCTTAATCATATTTCTTCTCATATGTTCTCCTCCTGAGGTGAACAGACACGTCCTAAGATGTCACAACTTGACTACAGTGCGTAGGCACTCAACTTCTTCAATATAATGAGAGCAGCATCAGAAGCACACCCAGGACTCGAATGCTTTCTCATACAGTACCATTCTCAATACTCGGTGAGTTTCCTTTTTAAAATTATGGCATACATAATGGGGCTTGTTATGCAGAACTTATGTCACAATGTAAATATTGCATACCCATGTGTATATAGATTGTCATATGCAGATTAATATATTGTTATTTTTATATTGCTCTTTTAAGACAAAATTCAGAGTCGCTGAACACTAACCGTGTTTCACACCATAGGAACATTTCCTTTTCCCCTTTTGTGTTGTGATAATGTCAGTAGATTCACCTTACCCCAGGTGGATGCTGCAGAACGGGGTAATCAGTGTGAAAACATAATTTCCCGGTCGTATAAGCCACATTGTTAGCATCTGCTTTGTCTTGCACTTGCCAAGTTGGCCTTTATAATGAAAGGGAAAAGAGAAAATGTGTTAAAACAGCCAGCCAGCATGCCAGACAGTACACACTGAAACTCTGAAATCATAGTACAAAAGAGTCATTCCATCTTTGAACATGAAAATATTGTAAAATTACAAGGAAATAATGATTTAGCAGTGTCCATCCTCCCCAGCAAAGAAGGCTTATTTCAGCAGTCCTAGATTCAAGCTAGAAAATTCAGTGTGCCAAGGGGCATCTGGCCCCAGTGTGGTCTCTAGAAGAATGATGGCTTTCCAGTGGTGGTGCTTTGCAGAATGCAAAGATTAGTGGAAGGCACTAACCAAGAGGTATCTGCTAGGATAAATCATCATCTTATTACTGAGGCTTCAGAAATAAGAGAGTGGAAGATTTCCCAATTTATTTTTATCAGCCTTCCATTTTTCCCTGACAGGTGGAGCACATTATCAGTGAAATATGAAATGGTTAAAGGCTATATAACTTTCCCCCCCAAAATATTTTCAAAGCTTTATGATATTAGAAAATATAAAGTATTCATTGCAAGGGGATCTTTCCTGTAACTTGAAGACTTGCCCCTAACGGAAAATGTCCTGATAAAAGACTTTGTAACTTCTTCCTTTTCTCTGAGGCTCTTTCTGATAACTATCCCCATTTATTTTGTTACATAGTTCCTGTCTTGAAATTTAACCAAACTGAGTAAGAAAGTTTACTGATAACTGCAGGGTAAGAAAAAAGTCTTACATATATGACAAAGACGTGAATGTATTACGTTGCAGCACAATCAAAATCTGTTTTGAGTGACACACTTTGCAGGAGAACTGAAGACCAAGAACCACACATTTTGTACAGAGTTCACATGATTGAAGACAGTCCTCAGCAGATGCACGTTAGAGATCAGACATTTGTCTGGAAAAGTCTAAGTCACAGTCACTTTTGCAGTCCATGTAATCACAGGAGTGTAAGTGATTTAAAAGAAAATATGAAACTCATTTTCCCTTGTTAAATACTATAGACCAAATATATTATGTTTCAGATGATGTGGGTCTAGCATTAATTCTTAACAAGACTTTAAAAAGAAAATAGACTAAGGAAAATGCAGACCAAAATGATTTATATATATATATATATATACTATACAAACACTTTTGTTCTAGGAGTGGTATTTAGTATAGAAACTATGCAAAATGCTAAAACTAAATTTCTGAAATTGCCAGGAGAAAAACCCCCTTAAACATTTGCAAATGTCTTTAACTGCCTGGGAGAAATAATTTTTATTATTTGGTGCAACACATATTCATCAGGACATGACTTCAGTACTCAAGTATGATGATTTCAACTACACTTTGATAGTTCCCAATTTTGCAGCCAAAAAATAACCCATTATATTGTCCTTGTCTTTAGTGCTGAAGGTAGCTGGGTTCACTATATCTTTAATTTAAAAGGCTTCAGTATCACTTGATGGTTCTAAAAGAATTTAACACATTTTAATTGTCTAATTTATATGCAATATGTACAATTACTGGAATGGTAGTATTTTATAAAATTGTTGTAAGGTTTTGCAAAAGCGATCAGTGCTTTCTTGCATTAGGGTTTGGTCCCAGGAGCTCTCCTTCCATGCTAGGAGCTTCGGTCAAAACTCGAGTTACTGACTTGAAGTCAGCGATGTGAACAGTGAGCTCGGCGCTGAATGTGAAAAAAAATCAACTTTATTTTGTCAAAGTCTTAATTGAGCTGAAATACCAACTCAGTCATGGGGAGAGCGCACGAGAAGTAGAGGAAGAAAATGTGGGTAATGTCAGAGGACTCTCGGTCCTTGGGGAGAGCAAAGTGGGGTGGAATGGTTTGTGGTTTAGTAATTAGGGTCAGATTTCAACATCAATTGCTCAGGCTGTTTGACAGAGGAAGAAATTTGGCACCAGGCAGGTGCAGCAATTTTTTTGCATTAAGCAGCAATGTGGGCTCAGTCTCCTTGAGCAGAACATTAGCATGTCTGTTACCTCCTCAGTCTTGCAAAACTGCTGCACTAGGAACTGAAACCACACTTGAATCAACTGGTCTTGCACTTCATTAAAAGTCTACGACTCATTCATAAGAAATTTGGGACCCGTGTCCTTCTCTTGCAGCTGAAGCCTTCTGGACGGTGCAGATGGTTTGGCTCTTTCAGTGGCAGTGCTGGGGTCCTTCGTGTCACCTCAAGCCCTGGACAAGGCTTTGGAACTGGGGAGAAGCATGAGGTCTAGGGCATGAGAAGTTGGAGAAATGAACTGTGGTATGACTGGTGACCTTGTTAATGGAGTTGTGCCTCCATAACATAAAGAAAAAGATTAATTTAAAAGTGTGGAGCCCCTTGATGTCATTATATGGCTGATATAGAGAATGTTTCCACTTTATACAGTAATTACAGTGTAGGCAGCATGTATCAAACAGATATCTAGACAAGAAAAAAGCTTTTTGTTTTTCCCTGTGTCAAAGTTATATTCATTCCTGTTACATTTTAGTTTAAAATTCATGGCCCCGTTGACGTAATGTTTTCTTTGGCAAGCTTGCCAATTCCAAATTTATCCTTTTATTTATAATACTTGGTAGGTCTTGTATTTGGCTGCTAGTGAAACAGCAAGGGAATTACCCAAAGTTATTATTTTATTACAGTTGTAAAAGCCACCTCAGAAGTGGATGCCAGTAAGAAATGAACTTCTGTTTTAGAGCTGAAAAGATGAACTATAAAATGCTGCTCTGAGTCTGTTGTTAAAACTGAAAAGTCAATGGAATTTCTGCTACTGTGAGAAATTTGTAAGAGCAACAAGACCAGGCATTATAATAATTATAGCTGAAAATGCAACAGGATAAATTAGGGGAAAAGATACTATAGGGAATTGAAAGAAGTCTTTTCTTCTCCATAATATTTATAGGCTGGATTCCAGCTATTCATGGGAAAAAAAAAAGTTGTTCTTTATAAAACACTTACCTCCCCCCCCCGCCCCGCCAAATATAAAAAAATAAGCCAAATCCATTTAAATCTTTTTTGAGAATTCATATGATGAATTACACATTTAAAAAACACTGAGTTATTAAGCTGTTTGAATACAGTTCTCTAACTGTTTTCTGATACGTTTAGCATGTTACCACCTCACACACATCTGTATTAAAACATTCAAAACTAGTTTTGTGACTTAATTTTTAAAAAATCCCTCAAATGTGAAAACCTGAATGTTCTGGTTTTTATGGCTTTTCAGGCACCATTATGTTTAAATGTTACTATCTATTTTTGTCAATTTTGGGGTTTTTTTTAAGAATAAACACACAACCAAGTAATAGGTTTCTTATATATATATGTTGTAAAAAGTTATATGACCAGCTGGGGGGTGAGGGACAGGGCAATATCTTGGCTAATGATGCTTCTCCTTTACTTAGCTAGATGAAGGTCACTGCCTCAGCTCAGCAAGACATGAGCTGCCATCATCATTTGTTTACTTGCTCCGTACGTGCCTGAGGAGGTAGAAGTTCAGTTAACCACCTCTTGGCATTAAATGATGATTTACAAGTTCCTGCTGGCACTGCTGCATGCTGAGCTCTTTCTTTTGTAAAAAAAACCAACCAAACAAAAAACCAGTCTTAAAAAAAATGCTTGCTGGGAGTGGTTGTGGGTTTCCAGAGCAGACTCAGCTGAAAGCAGGGGAATGGGCACTCTGCCCAACTTCTTGGTGATGTGAATCACAATGACGTCACCCAAGTCTTACCTATTTCCATGACGCGAAATCAGGCTAAGAAAAAGTTTCAGTACAGGTAACTTCCTCTGTTCAGAAGGGGGCAGGATTAGGGATGTTTGATTTTGTTCCATGCTATAGATAAGTACAGCTATCTTGTGCTTCTCTTTTATTTGACGTCATCTGTTTTCAGGCATTTTTCCTTCTCTCAGCAGTTACTATTATTGCTGCTCTTTGCTCTCTGCCTGTGACAGCAAAGCAACCCTCTCGTGCAGATTAATTGACACCACATTTTTTAACATGCAGAGAAAAAAAAATCACTTTGTTTTAATAAATTAATCCACAAAATAGGTCCAACAAGCTGAAGGGAAGTACATGAGAGGTAATTACATAGCCAGCAAAGCAAGGATATTAGAAAACAAACTCACCCATAAAAAGTGAGACGCAGGAACCCAATCCTGTGGCCAAGTTTAACCAACTCTCCCTGCCTAGGAGCAGCTCCTGTTAGTAGCACGATTCCTACTTTCTTTAGGGTGCACAGCCACTTGTATGTGCTTTCATCATCGCACATGACTTCTTCAAAAGGTATTTTGGGAAGTTGCAGGTCTGAACCCCAGTACTGGCGTTCTGAAAGGGAAGAAATAAATAGAGAAACAAGCGTTTAGCTGTTTTAGGATCAGAGCTCTGGACAAAGTTAAAGTATGAAGTTAACAGGATTTCTACACATCTGTGAATATACCCTCAATCCTGCAGTCAACTACCTGAAACTGGGTGTCTGAATTTGCATGGATAATGAGAAATCTTTATGATTAAATACAGCAAAACATTGCAGTAAAGACATTTTATCTCAGAAACTGAAAGACTGTTTGATAGGGATATTTTTTGATACCAGCATATCAGAAATGTGCAGATTCATTTTTCTGTCTGTACTGGTGAGCAATAAGAGTGAAAATGTGAAACTGAGACTGCTTTGAAAGTTTCTCATCTAGGGGAAAATAGCACGGGGCACCCTGAGATCTCCCTCAGAGGTGTTATTGTATGGATATATAATAATGAAAATATTATATTCCTGATGAAGGAACAGGATAAGACACACTTCAATATAACAGCTTGGTTATTGTATGGATATATAATAATGAAAATATATTCCTGATGAAGGAACAGGAGAAGACACACTTCAGTATAACAGCTTAGAAGCAGAGTAACGGCATCAATTGCATAAGTGACCAATTAATTTTCTTTTGCAGATTTGTCTTCATGAAATCACACCCAGTTACGTTCAGTTCTGACAGATTGTGTCATTCCTTGTCTCCTCCTCTGCAGATGTCGTAAGCATTTATCTTATTTCAGGAAGATGCAAAGGAGAGCCCAAGATGATAACAAACCCAAGAACTGTGTTGATGTCTTTTAAACATATCCCCAAATCTGTAACTGCTACATGTAAAAATAAAGGATTTACAGACAGTCAAACACAGAGCCTCAGTTGTACTGGACACAAAAGACAGATCTTTTGTGAGATCTTTTATCTTTCTGCTCCAAATGCAGCAGCCACCTCATATTCCCAAATAAAACTGAAAGGTGTGAGGTGCTGCAGGGTGGGGAGTATAACCCTTTTATTACGCTGCTTTGCTAGAACACATAATCCACCATGTATCTATGTATGTTAATGGTAGCACATGCACACACCACACACACACCAGTAGCTATAATATTGAAAGAGTTCTTAATAAGGAGTAGTACTACCATTTCCACAGAAATCATTTTTCCTATAGTAAAACTCTGTTTTTAATTGCTTATAACTTCAGCAAAATATAATGTTTTGGGCTGATTTTTCTATGCTAAAGGATCCCTTATATTGAATTTATGAAGAGAACAATCAGTCAAAAGGATTGGCTTAGAACTAAACTGAGCATGGTTGTACATGTTTTGGTCATATTGTGGGGCAATTTCTTTCTCTCTTGTACCTAAGACCTATTTCAGATTTATACTCCCCAAACACAACACTGCCTCCTTGCTCTCTTCCCATTAATTTCCACGTGTAAGATCTCATAAATGTGTCAGTTTAGCAGTTTGTATACATAAATAAACACAAACACATTCAAACCAAAGACACTGCACAGTAATGGGTACACAGGACAAAGATGCTATTTCTTACATTTCATTTTGCATAAATTTTGCATTGATTCTAGTCTTTTGGAAAACTCTAAACATTAGTTATAAGTCAAACTTTCTCTTAAATGTTGAATCAGAGCTCCTGTTCTTACAGTAAAGACATAATTGTTTTCCCTTGCTTTGATGTATTTTGTCTGAAGCTACTAATTCTTTAGAGAGTGCACAATAAAGCATGAAAAGATTTTATCTATTCCATAAAATATTGCTTTGTTTAAATCACATCTAGCTGACCTGGTATTTTAGGTAATATTCCATTAGCTCGTCCAATCATCAATCAAAGAGATTACATACTAGAAATAAGACCACAAACACTTGAAAAATGTAGATGGCATAATTTATAAAACACCTATACCTCTTTCAGACAGACAGAAACAATAAAAACTATTATATATTTCCAGCAGCTTTCAGAATGGGAGCTTTGGGGGATTTCACCTGGTGACTGAGCAACATGCTGCACTGCGAAGAGATGTAAAGGGTCAGGTTTGGTTTTTTTCCCCCCTCTCTCTAGATATAGGTAGCAAATACAAAATGCAACGTGCTCACAAAAAAGCGAACCCAGACACCACATAGTTACAACATTTTTTAACAGTTGCAAAGTCTGCAAATTTCCGACCACCAGTATTTCTCTCCCCTTTGGCTAAGTCTAGTTAGAAACTGTCCAAGAAACACAACGCACATGCCCAATATGAGCTATCCACATAGACCATCTTTTATGCTCTACCCTGTTTCAAAAAAAGCAGTAGTATGATTGACAAGCTGTTGAATTTCACAACATACTCACAAAATGAAAGAAGTGGAATCCTTGAGGAGGGATATAATCTCACCTCATTAAATTCCTTTTTGAGACCACTCCATGGCCTGCTACTCACTGCTCCACTGTGTTTAACTCAATATACATCCTTCCACACGCTTGAAAGATGGGGAAAAAAATAAAATAGGAATGTTTTCCTTTTTTGCTATTAAAAGTTATGAAATTAAATAGCTTTAGGTATGCTGTGTGAACTGCCAAGAATATCCTTTGAAAGACAAATTTAAGCTTCAGTGTTGGTGCAGGTAAATAACCACGGGATAACAAATGGAATATTTAAGTTTCAACCTTTCCTTCCCAGTCTTTCTTGCTGTCTTGCTAATAAAAATTTTCCTAATCTTCCTTACACAGAACAAGGCACAGAGGAATATTTGTATTTCAAGGAATATACCAACAGATTTTTTTCCCCACTTTGGGAAATATATGCACATGGAATTTAACTGCAGCTCCAGGAGCCCCAGGCTTCCCTGAGTACATGGACTGCAAAGTCCTCTTGTTCAAGTTTCCAGTTCCCACTGTGCTTGCCAGAAGTTTCACATAATACAGGATGCCCTTTCTGCAGCCAATGGACATGGGTTGTGGTGTTGGGTTTTGGGGTGGTTTTGGCTTTTGTTGCAAACACCTGATTTGCCACAGCGCTGCAAAACAGTGCACGCTCCACATACCTGTCTGGGAGTCACCTGGCCTCACATCTCCAACTCTATGGAGTCAAGAGAGACAAAAGCTAAATTCAATATGTTTCTGCAAGTAACCTGCCAAAAGAACCATTTCTCTGTGAAGGACTTCCTTTCCTGACTGATACCAGAGACCACCACAGCCATTTAAGTTCAACGGTAGTAAGAGAGAGACATGTAATAGGTCTACATTAAAATAAGCACTAAGATATTTCTAAAGATTTCCTTCTCCTCAGCCCCAGACAAAAATGTTATGTGTTGTCCAATATTTACAATTTGACAAATTAGCAGGTCCATAATTCTTTGGAAAAGGGACAGGAAAGCATAAATCATAAACCCAAAAAAGATCCTGTGATGTGAAGAGATTTAAGTTCTTCCACTTAACAATATTTTTTAAAAAGTCTATCTGAAAGTCTTAGAAAATTGTGCTCCCCACAGGGCATGTTATTCTCCCATATACAAAACAACAGGAACTTTATTCCCATTTTTATCCACAAAACCCTTCCAGTCTGAAAATCTATTAAGAAGCTGCACCGAGTAGGGACTGTAGTTTTCTCCTGCATTTCCTGGTGGTAACTGATCCCACTCCTGTTCTTCATTATTTTATCATGTCAGTATAGCATGTTTTTTCCCACTGCATAACCACAGTTAATATAGTTTCCGTTGTACTACAGCAGAAATCTAAGAACACAAGCTCTAAAAGCTGAAGGAGTAAGAAAGACGGGAATGAGCCATTAGTGCTTGGGCAGCCTTAGGTCTCACTTGCACAGCACAGTGGCAGTTGCCAAATTAAAAATCTTAATGTTTACAAATGTATCTGAACAATTCATAAGGGATAAAATCAAAGGTCTTGTAGAATTATTTTGTGTCTTTATTGACCATATACATTCTGACTAATAAAACCCCAGATCTATGCGCTTTTCGAAATGGGAAGAATGAACTGCTTTTTGAGAGAGTTAACGAGTCACTGCCTCTTTCAATTTCAGAACAATAATTTGGAGGAGGAAACATTTCTTGATCAGGTTAGTTATAAAAAGCCAACTGCATCAGCCACTGTACAAAATGAGAAGATGGCCTTTGCCCAGTTCCTGCAGTGTGCACGCATCAACAAGTGCTTGGAATTAATTCAGCATTTATAATGCTGGTCAAAACTCTCTATACTGGAGTTACCTGGGAAAGAAAGTCTGGACATCACAGATTAACTTACTTAATCTAAAATTATTTTGTCTACAATGTGCATTTTAATGTTTGTTGAAGGCCAAATATACTTTTGCTGTATTGTGAATTATGTATATGGCAGCCTAACTCATGGGGGCAGCTCTTATTAATTATTACTACAGGATAAATTCAAATTATCAAAGACTTAGTAAAAAACAACCTTTATCTTCTTCCTCGTGAAATTACCATCTCTCAGGATCTAGTAGAAAAACTGAAAGAACCCTTGATGCTGTTAACATCTTGATTCAAACTTTGGTGAAGCCAGATATATATCCAATATCATATTATCACATTTTATAGGACCGTCATAATCCGAAAGCTTTAACCTTAGGTTAAAAATATTAATTATGCGAGTAGCACCAGGTATTACCTCTATTGAACCTTCTTCTCCTCCACCCAATAGGAAAACATCATTGTGGGTTTTTTTGTTGTTTTTTCCCCCCCCAACATCCTGTTGTTGGGACACCAGTGTCTTGGAAAACGAGCCTCAGCAAATGCCAAGCAAAGCAGTGAGAAGGCTGATACAGGAAAGCACCTGGTGTACTCAGTGTCTCCCACAAGCATCCTCTACCACACACAGAACCCAAGTTACAGAGAGACTTAGGAGGTGGTAAATCTCCATTTGTTCAGGAGAATACAAGCAAACAGGAGGGAAAACCAAGAATATCGTTGAGACATCAATACTGGAAGTAGAAGATGGCTCTTTTGTTGCTTTTTTGGAAGTATTTTGTAAACTGGGCTGAAACGAGCCTCAATGTACACAAACAGCAGACTTTGCATACCACAAGGACAGGATCTGGCACTGTTTTTAAAAGGGTAAACTTGACATATTGCCATTGAGCTATTTATAGTCACTTCCACAATGCAGTGGAAATCTGACCTACTCTTCTTTTCAGGTTTGACACATGCCTGACATCTAAATTTTTAAATCAGAAATTATGATGAAAAGCCACCATAAAAGCAACATGAAAAAAAATAATCGCTAGGAAAAAGAAAAAGAAAAATAGGGAAAAAAAGAGCCACAGATGTGATAATGTCAAGAGTGAAGGTTAACCTTTAACTACAGCAGTGTGCTGAGCTTGCTCTTATATTTGTTGAACCAGCATGCAGGGCTGGCATTCCATACCATCATGTGTAATACTATACTGCTGGGATATGATTAGCTACTTCAGGGCACGTAATTTGCAGTGTGTAACTCCATTGACCAGAAGGAAGCTAATTAAACTTACCCCGATGCACAATGAGAAACAGCTCTTACAGCAGCCAGCGAGCAAACTCACATGCTTTTTAACTGCAGCTTTTTTTGCAACTGAAACCTGAGAAAAGCTGGGACAAGCTATCTGTCATAACGAGCCAGATCTTCCCTGGGAATATGAGGAAAAACAGAATGACACTACTAAACAAAGCCCAAGCTAACGCAGGCCCTTCTTTAGTATAACTTTATAAACATATTTCTTCAGATCTACCATGGAAAACAGAATTTGTAAAATCGTTTCCAAAGGAATAAACCAAATCTTTGGTGTATATTTTACGTAGAGAGCTTCAGTGGACACCAGCAGTAGCAGCCTTGAGAACTGGCCTCCCAAACAAGCATTGTATTTAGATGCTGAGAGTAAGGACGGTGTAACTGTGTGTGTACTAAGGCAAATCACAGCCAGTCAGGCTTCATAATGGGGGGGGGGAAAGTAGCATTACATCTGAAACACTGAAATCTCACTTATTGGTATCTTTGCTAATAAACATAATCAGAGATCTAGACTAAATCATCTGAACTTTGATTATAGCAATGTTCAATTTACATTCATTCACATTCCCCAAAAGGCTGCAACACATCTCGCTAATTTCCACAGCACCTTCTTTTTTCCAAATAAAAATTCTTACTACCTGAGAAATCAAGTATAGCTTCCCTGAATGAGGTTTGTATCTTCACCATGTTCATTCTGGGAACATACCCAACCCTCCAAAATAGTAAACAGTGTAGTTTATTCTTGCCAAAGTAAAAGCAGACATGAACTTTTATATTACTGGGGGAAAAAAGTTCCATTCTGGATTATGAAGAGTCTGTTATGTGATCCACTGAAATGAATGGAAATATTAGTCATCACTTAAGTTTTAAGCCAGATACAAGGCTGAATCTTTAGAAATGACTTTTGTTTAGGAGAACGAGTGCTAGGAGCTAAGGAATATTTGACCTGCAGAAACTGTGAAAGATAACTGGCCCCTAAAGTGCCAAACAAAGCTCAGATGCAGGAGATACCTAGGGCCACATCTTTTCCCATTTCTCATCTTTCAGGGGAAAAAACCCAACCAACCAAACTTTCTTTTATTTGTTAGAATAAAAAACACCCCCAAAAAAAGGAGCATAAACCAATCACAGATTTGGCTTTTGCTGAGCTCTGAAGAAACAGATACCTGGATCTGAGTTTCACACCATCAGCCTGTCTCTAGTTTCTTTTTTCTAAAGTAATATCCTGTTTTAACGGATACAATCTTAATTCTCAACACAGAGCCACAACTTTTTTGCAACAGCAGGTCTCACAGGAACACTGTCAAGAGCAACAGCAGAAATCTTGCAGGTTTTCACACGTTCCATGCTCACAATCTGAAAAGCTGCCAAAGAAGTGATGATGTGCATCATGACAAACCTAGTGAGTTTATGATTATTCACTCAAAAGGGTGAGTGATTTGTACTGGGTGAATTTTACACTGCTGGTTGCACAAAACACTTAACGACTAAAAGACAGTCAACTACTGCAGTAGGTAGGGAATGCAGAGCAAACACAACCTGAACTTCAGCACTAGGCACCACTATGCTACAGTTACTTTTTAACAGAAGGTTGTGGAAATGGAATTTAAAACATTCCAGTTATAACTCTCTTGCAATTCTAAATAATCTTTCTAAAAATAAAAATTTAAATAATTTAAACAGTGCATACACACTTGTGTATTGGGTCTGTGTGACAAGGTTTTGGCAGCAGGGGGGCTGCAGGGGTGGCTTCTGTGAGAAGCTGCCAGAAGCTTCCCCCATGTCCAGTAGACCCAATGCCAGCTGTCTCCAAGATGGACTCACTGCTGGCCAAAGCTGAGCCCCTCAGTGATGGTGGTAGCACCTCTGTGACAACATCTTTAAGAAGGGGAAAAAAAGCCCCAAAATGCACAACAGCAAGTTCAGCCAGAAAGAGGGGTGAGAATATGTGAGAGAAACAACCCTGCAGACACCAAGGTCAGTGAAGAAGGATGGGAAGAAGGTGCACCAGGCACTGAAACAAAGATTCCCCTGCAGCTTGTGATGAAGACCATGGTGAGGCAGGCTGTCCCCCTGCAGCCCACGGAGGTTAATAGTGGAGCAGATCTCCACCTGCAGCCCATGGAGAACCCCATGTCAGTGCAGGTGGACGTGCCCGAAGGAGGCTGTGACCCTGTGGGAAGCCCACGCTGGAGCAGGCTCCTGGCAGGACCTGTGACCCCGTGGAGAAGAGCCCACGCTGGAGCACGTAACTGGTAAGCGATCTCTCCCTGCCCTCATCTCAATCCATGAGGCTTTTGTTATATTTTCTCTCCCCTGTCCAGGTGAGGAAGGGTGATAGAGCAGCCTTGGTGGGGACCTGGCATTGACCCAGAGTCAACCCACCACAGCTTGGCATTGTCACATAGACCACTGGTGGTCCACAAGGCTCATTTCTGAGACCTACTAACCCTTTCTTAGGAAAGGCTTTTAGGAAACCAAATGCAGCCCAATCAGCTGAACTCCTCTCAGGTCCAGAGGTTAGAAGAGGGAAAGGGTAACCATGGGTTTCTGTGGTCCATGCACAGCCTGGCACTGCTCTGGCTTGGTAGATCTGGTCCTCACGCAGGGAATTCTATCCAGGATTGTCAGACCTCTCACATTTGAAACAAGCGTGACAGATGTGGTTTTAATTCCTACCTGGTAAAAACAAATCTTCTCGCATTTCTGCTCTGGCTTCTTCAGAGAAACATCTTTTTTTCAACCACTCAGCTTCATATTCACTTGCGTGTTCATCAGGCCATGTAATAGAGATCTTCCAATATAAAATGAAAGATTACTTTAGAATAAAAAATTTCAAAAAACATAACCCAGAACAACAAAAAATCCTTGGAAAATACAGAAATTATAATATTTATATTATATTTTATAATATCCCAGTAGTATAATGGCGAACAAGTAATGAAAACCCAACCTGAACATCATCCAAATTCTGATACATTTTATAAATGGTCATTTTCACATGAACCCATGACCTAGTTTGCTCTTTTGTGTGAGCTGCTTTCACTGTCAGAGCTGCACTTAGCAGAAAGAGGAGAATCAATCACAGAAGCTGGCAAACATCACTGGGGAGAGTGCTACATCACAACTCAGAAGAGAGCAAAAATATCTTCTGCCAGCTTGTTAAAAAATAAGAAGTACAAGAAAGGCAAAAAAGAAATGTTAAGAGAGAAATCCCTCTCCTAGTTTTGAAAAGTCTTCCCTCTTTCAAATAAATTTTAAAAAGATGTTGTTTTGGGGTTTTTTTTTTTAAGTTCCTGACAAAAGCATGGAAAGTAAGGAAACATGGCTTTGTTTGTTATGAACTGAAAGAGCTCAGCACAGCACGCACCCTCAGCTCAATTCTTAAGGCTGTTGGGTAGGTATCAATTCCCATTTCACTTAATTCCACTCATTCACGTGATGGTAAAACACCAGTATCAGTTTAGGATTAGTGCTGTGCTTGCATCAGTATAAGTGGAAGCAGACAATCCCTCTACTAGCATAATACATTTGCCTATTCAAAGTATGCATTTACATGGCATTAATTTTGGTAACAATCAACTGGGGACCCCAGAATTCCTTAACACAGACCCATGCCCTGCGGCTGAGCCAAACTCCTACGAGCCAGGCTCTGCATACTCACCCTGCAGCGAGACTCCCCCAGCTGCTAAAGGGTTGACTGCTGCATCTTTAACTTGTATAAAACATCTTTACCTCTAAAATAAAAGGAAGTGAGTTTGCATGTCAAAGGAGCCATGTACTACTTTTAATAAAACCTATAAAATCTAAACGATACATCAGGTTTTTATATGTCAGGAAAGACTGAAATTCATAAGGAGGGCAGTTCCTGTCCTCTCTTGACCAATAAGCTCCTCTTTTTCATGAACAAATGTTGATGTAGAATAGGTAGATACAGAAAGGCCAACTCTGAATATTGGCTTCAACTTTGGCTTGAGTGCTTGCCCCAAGATTAATTGTTTTGCACCTTGGAAATTAGCTAATAAATTGGTATTTTTTTATGGATTTAGGTCATCATTGCTTTGCCATTTGTTTTTCTGACTTTCAAGCCATTTATTTTATTTTTAAGTACAGAATAAAGAGGAAAAAAAATGTAAGTGTAATTAAATGTGTGTAGAATGCCTATATTTTCTTTTCATCATGAAAAGATGAAGAAACATACAGCAGGATTTTAGAAAGCATTTTAAATATTTTAAAAAGAATACTTTAAATATTCTAAAAAACAAAGCCTGGGTTTCTGCAGCCTCTGCATAACATTCATAAAGTGAAGTTTCATATAAAGGTGGGAAGACCTATATTCCTCAAATTGCAATTATTCCTAAAAGCTTTCCAAACACACGGTGGGGTTTGCAGATAAACAAATTTTGATTACAGTATAACCTGGGATTGCCTCTAATTTACAGATTAACAAGCATCATTAGACAAGTTTCATGAGAAGGTGGATAAAGGTTTGCTTCACGTACCTTTTTTCTATCTGCCAGAGTGACTTCCTTCACCACAATGTTCACGTCCAGGTCCTTGAAGACCAGCTTGCGCGCCCTGGCCGAGTGCAGGAAGCAGCGGGGACACTGGCAGTTGTCCCTCAGCCAGACGCAGGGGTAGCAGCTCTCGCTCCCGTCCTCCCACTCCACACGGATGAAATGACCTGTGTCCAAAGCTTCCACCTTCTGTATCCCTGGGGTCATGCTGAGTGTCCGGGTGGCATGGACCCCCAGCGCAGCACCCCGCTGGCAATACCAAGTGGTCTCGGTGAGCAGGCTCCTGCTCTTCTGTGCTGGTGGCAGGCAGCACACCCTGCCTCCGGGGACTTTGGCCCTTGGCAGGACATTAGCCACCACCCTCCACATTTTGGCTTCTTTAATGAAATCGTCAGAGAAGGTCTTTGTGGAGTTCCTAAAACACCATGAAGAGCAGTTTGTTACTGAAGGAGTCAGTATAGCAGAAAGATCATTTTAAGATGATTCCTCCTCCTGCCTAACCCTTCAGGAACATTCATTATACCTTCACTATCTGTACGTTTTTTGAGGTGCAGAGGGTGTATTCAGACCCATCTATTAAAAAATCCCTCAGTTTAGTAGGGCTTCAGGTTTGGTTCATGGTCTTGGCCATCTTTTGTTTCTGCAGTCAGTTCAATACATGTCACACAAATAGTCTCTTTTAGAAAGACACCTCAGGATGAGTTCCACGAATCAAAAGCAGGAGCTACTACGAACAATGTTCCAAAGCTAAAGCTTTAAAGTACACATACCTTAACTCCTGCTGTGGCTACCATGGAAAAGGGAACACAGAATCCAGCTCTTGTAAACGTGACTTCAGCTACAGCAACAGAGTTCTACAACAGCTCCTTTCTCCTTTCACAGCCAGACTGCTTTCTATAGATATACTCTTTTATTTAAAGATAGCTGCATACTGTACCACAGGAAGATGATGCATTCAAATCTTAAATTAGAAAAGAAGTTCTAGTCTAACATTCCTATTCAGAAAAATACTTGGCCTCCCCTTGAAACAATAAATAATTCTATATATTTTAACACAGTGTTTAACCATTTCAAGTATTGCATACTTATTCAGTATCTTTTTCTGTTGTCTTTGTTCTTAAGCTCACAGGGTAAAATATTGATGCCTTGCCAGGACCAAAGTCTCCCCAGCTGCCTTCAGCAGGGAAAACCTCACTGGTTTAGTATTTTGACTCACTACGACCTGCTGGAATTGTCAGAAGGTTTTTTAAATGTTTTCATTTGCTACAAGTTAGAACTAGGTTGTACAGGACTCTTAGGTCTTCTTCTGGTTTTATTCCATTTGATTGAGTGTAGCAAAGAAAAATATTGATTTCTACTTTCTCTTGTTTGCACACAGTAGTCCCATCGGAACCCAGTAATTACCAACCTTCACTTGCAATGAAGTCCAAGCCACAGTTAGTTTTGTGTGTACAGACTTAAACTTCTTCTATACCCAGATTGAATATCTTCCCTTTTACATGTATATATATATACGTACACAAACATACATATGCAAATATATGTATGTGCACCTCCACCTTAATTCCAAAGTATTATTCACGTAACTCAATTTTCCTCCTAACTAAAAATATTTACACCACAAGACTAGCTGCAGTTTCCTTCTGGGATTTCTTGGACAAAGTTTTATTATGAGTGACTGCAAAGATATGGTATGTTTTAAGGATTTTAACATGTGATAATTGAATACTTATTCTAATATATTTGAAACAAAAGACCAATACTGGACCACAATGAAGGTTTCCAATACACTGAAACTTTAGAACATTTGGTTTCAAAAAAACCCCCACCAAACTGTATTGGTTTCAGTGTACTTCTGTGTTCAAGGCAGTGGATTACCTGATGGTAATGGGTCAGATCCACAAACACACTTAAGCAACCAAAATATAGTTTACATGGAATTAGGACAATGAAGATGCAGAAGCGCAAGTCACAAACCCATTGCTTAATTGCTAATACAACTCAGAGGTTGTTGATACTTGCTTTTCTGCATATGAACTTATCTGAATCCCTAAAATGCAAATGCTATCCATATCTAAAGTCAGCATGATGCGGACAGAATTGAGTATCCTCACACATACCCCTTATCCAGTTTACCTATGGTTGGTGAACAGGCAGCTGCACACCAGAAAACTTGTAAGGGTAAGCAAGATCAGAAAATTCCCGACATCTGGACAATGCTGAATTGTCCAGCACAAAGCACGGCACTTGCATCCACGTGAATTTCAGGATACTGTTAGAAAACATAATCAGCAACATAAATGGTTGGATCAATTTATTCTACCAGTCTTTCAGTGCATAAGGAATTCAAGCACAGACCACTCTTCCCAGAACCAACACCCCAGCTCCTTTGGGGATACAGATGCTTTTGTGTGCTAAATGTAAGTAGATGCTCCTGCAGGTATCTGCTTAAGACAAGATCATGAGAACCAGAATTTCCTTCAGAAGTTTAAAGCCACCCAAAAGCTCCTCCAGCTTGCCACAGGGGGGCAGGGGAAGTTCTGACAACTGGATATACATAATAATTTAATTCTGGTTATATACATTAACCAGAATTAAAGCTGTCTTACTTTAAGACAGCTGATCAGCTTTGCATAATGTATGTTCTCTTCACACAAGGTTAAGAAATTGCAGAGAAATGAAAAGTATAATTAGTGTATCAAACCCAAGTTTTAGCCATGCCTTAAAACCAGTTTGCTGCATCAGAAACTGACCAGTGTAACCAGCTCCTTAGAATCATAGAACTGCTTGGTTGGAAAAGACCTTTGAGATCATCGAGTCCAACCACACATGTCCACTACTAAACCAGATCTCCGAGCACCCCATCGACCTGTCTTTTAAACACCTCCAGGGATGGTGACTCAACCAGCTCCCTGGGCAGCCTGTTCCAGTGCCTGACAACCCTTTCAGGGAAGAATTTTTCCTGACATCCAACCTGTACCTCCCTTGGCACAACTTGAGGCCATTTCCTCTTGTTCTATCACTAGTTACCTGGGAGAAAAGACACACACCCACCTCCCTACACCCTCCTTTCAGGGAGTTGTAGACAGTGATAAGGTCTCCCTCACGTCGGATGCAGCAGATTTTAACATGGATTGATAAAAACTTAAAAAACTACAGGAAGAGCCCGAACTGGCCTCAGTTTGAACTGGGGGTTTCTATCTTGCAAGCATTGCCCGAGTGAAAAAATAACACAAACTTCAGAGAAAGAATAACCCTTGACTAAATACAGCACGTGAACCACCTTCCATTGCACGGCTGAATCTTGTGTACGAGCGGAACAAAACATCTCTGCAGGAAAACATTTGCCTGATGCTCTTATCTCGGACTACAACGGAAACACAGAAGGAAATGCGAATCACAAAGGGACAAAACCTCTGCACTTCTACACTACTTCGTGTCCGTGTATAACTGTGTACGAACGCCCGGGATGAGACGCTGTCTGAGGGATTCTTGCCCGGGTGTCCGCTTCAGTCCCACCCCAGTTTTCGATCTTCTA